AGCCTCCATCTTGGTCTCCACCTCTCGCCTGATCTCCTCTTGCAGCTCGTCTGAAGATAAGGAACTCGACCACTTTGCTCCTATGCTCATTTGATGGGACGCTGCTACTGACTGAGAGGTCCCCATAATGTTTGAAGGGCTAGCGCCACCTAAGTGAGGTAACCTACTCAGTATGGGTCCAAGACCGAGCCCGCTAACTCAGCCGGGATGCTACGCTCGACCACAACCCACTAAAAAAGAGGAGGTGGGATCCAAGGTAGACCCCTAAGACTCCCGTAGCCCTATATCGACCTGAGTCATCCGTGCCTATCAAAATTAATATAAAAATATTAGTATAGAATATTTATACTGCTATATTAATATTTAATTAATTACCTACCGCCATCTCCTCAACCTCATCCGATGCAGGAGACCCGCCTTGAGGCCTGTACAGATAAGGCCACATCTCGCCATAGGTAGGCATGTATCCCCGCTCTTGCCGCATCTTTTCCTTCTGTAAATGAAATAAAAAAAATTATTATTTACAAATTAAATACATACACACAACATATAAATTCTTTTTATGTACTTACAATTACAATCTCATCGTAAATGACAACAAAGCTCCTCGATCCAGCCCTATGGTGCACTGTCTGTTGCCTGATGCTTCCAGCATTTTTCTAGGAAAGAGCCTAAAACAAAATGTATAAAATTTAAATTAGCCAAATTGAACAAAAAATAAAATTTTTTTATAATTAATGCAATAATATCATACCATCTGCTCAGCCGACATCGTAAAATACACAAAACTTGACTAGTCTTGCTCCGGGGACTCCACCAGGTATATCTACTAGTATCTCCTGCAAGGGCCTCATCTCGTCACCTTTCTTCTCCCACCACAGGTCAACCCTCTTGTTCTTCTATGCTATCCCAAGTCTCTTGATGGTATCCGCTTTCAACTCCTCTCCCAATATAAATTTACTCTGTAATTAAATAAATAAAAAATTATATTCATTTAAGTAATTTTAAAAAATTAAATAAATAAATAACAAATTATAATCAAACAATTAAGTAATATAAATAAAAAATATATATTACCTTCATCACTTCCCAACCGTTCTACTTCTTCTCTGCTGTGATTTTCTTCCAATCCTTCACATAAATAGGGAATAAAGTCTATTGCTGACCAAGAAGGTGCAAATACTTATTATATAGTTGGCCACCTTTCTTAGTCGGTTGGCGCAAATCATTCAGCGGCACAACTAGCTGTTTGCTCGTCATTATGGATAGATCTCTAGCTGTCAACCTCCTATTGGACTCGTTCTCCTTAGAGTCTACAAAATTTAATTGGGAAATTAATTATATATTAATTAAATTAAAACAATTTTTTATAAATCAAATAGTTGTCAAATTAAAAAGATGAAATAAATACTTACCCACAAACTCCACTTCAAAACTGGTCTAGTGCCTTGGAGCACGACGCTATTCATTATGGGGATTCTCATTTCCCTGAACCTCGTCCTCCTCCTCCTCCTCTAAACTATCATCATTATGGGTTTGTTCATCCCCTGAGAAATTAGCCTCATCATTAGATTGGACATCATCATTTGCCATGAAGCTCAAGATGTCTCAGATCATAGTCATGAATGCTTAGGAATGGCTCAACAGCACCATCACCCCTAACACCATGATCCTCGTTGGATCTATCAGGATCGACTAGCTCCTTCCCTAATCGACAAGTCATCCTAATAATAGCAAATAGCAATTGTAATAAAAATATATTTTACAACTAACAATTATTAAAAATAAACAATTATATCTATCAATTCTAAATAAATACTTCAAATGGATAATATCAAATAATAATAATTGAAAAAAAATATTTGTACATTTAAATTTGCTATCAACTCATTAAAAATAAATAATTATTTCTATTAACTCTAACTAAACCAGTCTATTAAACTCAATATAAAAAATTATAACTCTAAATAAATACTTCAAATAAATATAGTCAAATAATAATAATTGAATAACAAATATTTGTACATTTAAATCTCATATCAACTCATTAAAAAGAAGCAGTTATTTCAATTAACTCTAAATAAACCAGTTTATTATAAAAAATTATTTCTATTAACTCTAACTAAACCAATTTATTAAACTTAATATAAAAAATATAACACATAATTCAAACTGTGGAGAACTATCTAAGACGTACACTAAATAAATAAAATAAAAAATAAAAAAAACAATTTATAAATTAATTTCTATTCTTACCTGAAAATGTGGAATTCTATCTAGATCTGGATCTGGATCTGGATATGCTTCATGGAGAGAATTCAGTAGAGTTTCACTTTACAATTAGCCAAAAGTGTGCAAATGAGGCGATGAGGTATATATAGGCTGCAATTTTCTAGTGGTTCTATGAAAACCGCTAGAAATTTGCAGCGCTGCCCCCTTTGTCGCCACCTATATGCAGCCACGTGTCAGGACTCCTCAGGAAAAATAAAATATTTCTAGCGGTTTCAATGACAACCACTAGAAAATTCAATGAAATTTCTAGCGGTTACTAAACCACTAGAAAATGCAATGCTGATTTGCATTTTCTAGTGGTTCCAGCAATAACACTACTAGAAATTAAATGCTGGAAAGATGACGCCAACTTGTAGCGGTCATTTTCTAGGGGTTGGGTGAAAACTGCTAGAAATATGTGGGGTCCACACCCTTTCTGGTCAAAACACTGCAGATTTCTTGCGGTTTGTATTATAACTGCTAGAAATGTTTATTTTTGTAGCGGTTTTTTTTAACCGCTAGAAAGTGACCGCTGGTAATTTACTTTTTTTTTTTGTAGTGATATGTATACCGAACATAATGATGTATGAGATATGCATTGATATATAGCATGATATGCATTGCATTATTGACATTTTGTGATTCATTACTACTGAGATTTCTATGAAATCTCACCTCTTCCATATTTAAATTCCAACAATTAGGGGCTAACTTATCAAGAGGCAAAGGAAAGGAAATAGAGTTGGCAGGAAGACTTCCTTGAATAATTATGAAATTATGTACTTTGGACTTGTTTTGTATAAATTATAAATAGCTATGTATGAATGACCTAATAGTTTAATAGTGATATAAGATATAGCTAAGTTGTGTTTATATGTCATTATGTTTGAGTTGTTTGAGAAAAACAAGAATTCCCAAGAAATAGCATAATAAGGGGATAAAAATGATCTAACAAGGGGTCAAATTTGATAACCACATGAATCTAAGTAAACAGTGGAGTTTGGTCACAAATTTTGGCAGGCTATTAAATCTCATTTTAAGCTTTAAAATGAGTGGTAATTCATTAAAATTGGAGTTTGTGCAAAAAAGTTAGACCTATTCAAAGTTAGATATAAATTCTAAAAATTTAGAAAATAACCAAATGAACGATGCCACTTTGGCTTAAAACTGGACTTGAATAGTGAGGTTGTGAGAAAAGTGATTATTTTTTTAATGCAGACAATTAACAAAGCTTCAAATAGAATTTGAAACTACTTCATTTCAATTTTTTTTTTTTACAATTAGCTATGATTTTTTGAAGTTGGGCAAAATTTTAAAATTGCTATGAATAATAACCCAAGAACAAAGTTTTTTAAAAAACTTGATTTTCTAATCTAGTGACCAACAAATTGGTTTCAAATACTTCCATTTGATACATTATTGCGTACAAAAGTAAGGTGTTGCACATGTGCTTAACCAAAAATTTAAAAAATGTTTCAAAAAGGCCTTAGATTTTGGTTTGGTTGATATAAATGTCTACAGTTAAATCCTATTCAGTTTAAAAGTTCACATGGAAGCTTGAACTACGTCATTTTGAAGTTCGAATCCCAAGAAAAGGACTCTAGAGGTTTGAGAAAGTTAGCAAAAAATAAACCAACATTGTGCAATAGTCCATTAAGCCTAAGTGAAATTATTCTTAGTAGCGGCATTATATATCTCTGGTTGAGAGAAGAAAGTGGTAGTGAGGAAAGGAGGGATTCTCTCCATATACTTAATTTTCTTTTCACTACCTCTCCTCTTATAATCTCCATCATTGATTGAAATTTGGACAGTTTATAGGAAAAATGACAAAAAAAAAAAATATCTACTACTCCTCCGGTCCTAATTATAAGACCCAATTGACTTATTTGAGGAGACTAAGGAAGTAAGTTAAGTTGGTTATTTATAATAAATAAGTGTTGTCATTCCTAAAATATCCTTGCTAATTAAGTATATTGGCTAAAACTATCATTATTAGAAGGATTATCTTGGAAAAAAATGCATAAATATAAGAGATAAAATGGATTGGGTCTTATAATTAGGATCAAATAAAAAGTCAAATTGGGTCTTATAATAAGGACCGGAGGAGTATATTTTAAAATGACAAATAGGTTATACTAACTACTCTTATAATGGTTTTGACTTCTTTTGTAATAGTTTTGACAAGTCAAAATCTATTAAAATTACTTATTTATGATTTTGAAATTTAATAAGCATTTTTTGTCATTTTTCCTAGTTTATATTTAATATTTATTATATTATATAAAATTTAAAAAGGGGGGGTCATATATTTTACTACTTATAAATGGTACAAGATATTAAGGTAGATGAGCTATTCTTGATTAGATCCTGCTTTGATTATTTTAACGGGATAGTTTCAAATATAAGATAATTATGGAAAAAATAGTATTAAATAGTAAAAAACTTTAAATTGAGAATAGTCATGATGGTCAACATAACCAAAGTGGAAGGATTAATTATATAAAGTCTAATGATACTTTATTTTTAGAGAGAGATGCATAAATCTGGTTACACATGGTATTTCAGCATACCATCTCTTACCACGTAAAATAGCACCTTCTAGCTTACTAAACTCTCTTCTTTCTTAAATTGGATAACATAGAACCTAGGCAGTTCAATAATAAAACAACCCGAATTAAAAATAAAAAGAAAAGGCTAGAAAAGCAGGATGTGATGTCATCTATGATGGATCAGACATTAAGTTGCAGGTGCGAAGTATGGGGCTGTAAGTCGATGTCCTTAGCTTTAAGATCGCAGCCATGGTTGCCGGAGTTAATGTCACTGACGGTGGCCTTCCATTCCGGCAACTCGCATTTTGATTCAATGTTCTTATCGGCGTTCTTGTAGGCCATGTATAAACCCATTTGAGCTACTCCAAACATAAACCCCAGCACATTTGGCAGCTGAACAACCCACGATTCAAAACTTTGATTTGTTCTTAAACATGCATATGAATTAAATGTAGAAACAAGATAACTAATTTGCAGATATTAAGAAAATTAGTTAAGTTTGTTATTCAAAAAAAAAAAATATGTGCTGATTTTCTGAAATACCTTCTTCAATCATTTATAATGAAACCACCCCTTAATGAAAAATCTCTTAATATGTGCAATTAATATATGGATAGCTTGGGAAAAAATTATAAGTTTTGAAGACAAAGTAAATGAAGATATTATACTTAGGATCAAAAGAAGTCCTCTAACTAACTCCTACATTTACAATCATGGGAATATCATGAGGGCGCATATCTCAGATAAACCACGAGACTTTGCTAAAAAGGTACTAATGAGTTTTTTCCACTCAAGTTAACCTTATTAATGCGTATTTATATGCATACTTAATGTACATATATAAATATATATATAAAATAGAGAGAGAGAGATGCTATGACGTGCTCACCATGATGAAGTAATCTTTGCTGAAGAAGCCATAGAAAAACCACATGGTGGCGGTGAGGGTAAGAAAAAAGGACAGAGAAAATGGCATGAACTCTACGCTTTTGGTTTTTATGACCCTCCTCTGCAATTGTTTTTGGCCACAACAAAGTAAGCAAAATGGAACAGTCAGATATATATATATATATATAAATGTATATGTAAATGTAACTTATATACCTACCATGATGCTCAGAGGGGCAGCGAAGACGGCGATATTAAAAACGGCACAGACCCAGCCGACGGCATGAACACGGTCAATTCCCTTAAAGGCGAAGACGGAAATTATCATGGTCAACCCAAACCCTCCTACGTCAAAAATCGCTAACATCGCCATCGTCGAAATCTGCTTAAAATACGAGGAGGTCGGTTTAAAAACAATAGAGAATCATATTTAAGGGGGTAACACACACACACACACACAAAATTTATTTTTCACCTTCTGTTTCCTTGGTGCATATATAACGTATAATATGAGGTAAGTGATTTCGATAACACAGCCTATAGAATTGATGGTGATAATCAAAATGGCGTGGCTCTTTAAGAAACCATAATATAGAAGTAACAATGCACTAAGCAGTGCAACCACATATGGGATCGATTGAAACCCTTCTGACGACTTGTTCTTGTATATTGTGTAGAACGTTGGCCTACCATTATTCAAACAAACACAATGGTCAGATTATATATGTGTGTGTATATATTGCATGAACTGTTTCAAGAGGATTCATAAGTATATGTACAAGGGTTTTTACTTACAAGGGTGCTAAGAACACCAGGAATGCAACAATATTACCTGTACAGAACAAGAGTAGGAAATTAATGAGACAAGTATATGGCTAAAATACGAAAACGAGAGGATTAATTATTGTTAATATGACACATACCCAGAAGGCCAAAGATGAAAACCAACTCATGATCAGAGAAGAAAAACATTTTTGGTCCGTCTAGGTAACTTTGTGTCAAGAGAAGTCGATAGATCGATGGATGTTGGTTCTACTAAGCAAGGTTGGCTCCATTTATATATATAGGGCCCATCATCAAAAGGTTAGGCAAAGATATTGATGAGGTTCCTATTCCACTGTAACATATCCTTTCATCTCCCTCTCCCTCTCCCTCTCCCTCTCCCTCTCCCTCTCCCTCTCCCTCTCCCTCTCCCTCTCTCTCTCTCTCTCTACCCGTTTATTAATGTTGTCGTCTTTTATTTTGTGAGCCACTGTTTGTAGGGTGAAAAGACAAAACATATGAGAAACCAGAAAGGAAAGTGTAGGCTTGAACCCTAAGCTTTGATGAGGGTAGGTATGGCAAACCCCTATCTTCCCTCTAACTTTTTGTATAACTAGATACGTTGGCGGGCTGTTTATTAATGTATTAATTATTTGTGGAATCTAATTACTCACATGATTCATGATTATAACTTCTGTGTTTTTTTGCTCAAAAAAAAAACTTCTGTTTTAAAATTGATATTTATGACGTGTATGAGATAAGTTTTGATGCTATATATAATGCCCTTCGGTAATCTAGATCTTCTTAAATTTGAAAATTTTATTAGACACTTTTATATTTTTTATTATTTAATATTTTAATATATTCCCAATAAATATTTAAATTTATCTTTGACCCCCTTTTCAAAGGGTTATACATTGTATTGCAAATTTGTCTTAAAAGTTTTCATTCAAAAGTGCCAGGCACTTGAAAAAATTTTTGAGTTCAATATTACCTTGAAAATCTAAAATCATAGAATTTTGTCCCTCACCATCAAAAAATCATAACCTTGACTATATAGTGATGTTGACCATTAATATTTTTAACTGCGGAGAAAAAATTGTTACGATTTTAAACTTTCAAGAAAATATTAAACTCAAAAAGACTTTCAGGTGTTCAACACTCTTAAATAAAAATTTTGGAGTTAAATTTGCGCATAACCCTTTTTCAAAATTAAATTCTTGCACATTGCTACTTTTGACAATCAAATTCTTATAAATTCTCAGAGCCTGGATAAGCTCAATAATCAATTGAATCCTCTTTTTTTTTATATATATTGCCAACATAATCAATTGAAGCCATGCTTCATTGTCTATTTAAATATTATTAACAACAAATTCATTAACAACCAGAATGAATATCGTGAAGCAAACAGTCACATAGATGGACAATTGTTAACAACAATATTAATATACTCCTTTTGTCCTTATCATTTTAGGTGTCCTTGTACAAGAACTTTTTAATCATTTTTATAAAAATATTTGGTAGTTTCAGTGATCATAAAATATTATTTCTTTATATGCCAATATTTAATAAAAATAGTGAGAGTGGAAATTGATATAATATTAAAATTTAGTATACTAAACATGAGGATAATATTTGAAATTACTCGAATCTTATAACAAATTTAATATTTTAAACTATTTTTATTAGTACATGCAAGTCAATTAGAAGGTTCTTATGTTAATAAGGGCAAGAGGGTGTAATATCAAAAATCTATAAATAGCCTCACTACTGTAAATAATGGGGTTGTGTTGGACTTGTACAATTTCCTTTTTATTATTTCAAATATATAATATTCCAATATATATATATTTATTAATACAACATAAGGATGATTTGCTGGTCAAAAAAAAAAAAGAAGGATGATTCTATATGGCAAAAAAGGTATTTTATGATTATTAATTGACTCAAGCCTTACTAGATCAATTACTTCAACAATTCTGACATAGCCTTTGTGATCTGATCTGTATTATATGATAATTTATCTATTTTATAACTTGTGTTATAAATTTGTTTTATACTATTCTAAAAAGGAAAAAAATAAAATGGGAAAAAAATCCAGATAAATCCAATTAGACCCCTTGGCCTGATTATAAACTTGTTAAGAATGTAGGTGTAAATTTAAATTTTAGTATTTTTAATTACACACCATGTATATATATGTATATATAATTTCTTCCTTCTCCATCTTATTTGCATATTTATTTATTGTCACTTTCGAACATTTTGAGTTCTCCATATATATATATATATATATATATTTTTTTATTTTTATAAAGTGAAAATTATAGATTTTATTCTTTGATTGAGTAAATTGTTTTAAAAAATGTTTAAGGGAAAAATATGCACACCTTAATCAAAGGACTTTGCTCTACAAATACTATGTATTAAGAATTTTTAAATTTCATCTTCATCCGCATTTCTAGCTTAGTGTCAATATAGAATATTGATAGCAAAATTACACTTTTAGTTTTTAACTTTACACAAGATTTCAGTTTGATCCCTTAACTTTATAAAATGTATTTTCAATCGTTTATTCTTAACAACTGTTAATAAAAAATTTTACATTGGAATTTTACTTTTGACAAAACATTCTTATATGTACATGCTAACATATTAAATTTAATTTTTTAATATGATATTAAAAAAAAAAACATGATTTCAGAATAACGATCTCAAGGTTAAAAAACTTTAAAAAAAAAAAAATACTTTTTATTTTTCTTTCTAACATTAAGAGACCAACTACTAAAACATTGTATAAAGTTAGATGACCAAAGATATACTTTTGCCAAATATTTACTAAATCATCTACAACCTTCATAACTTAGAACCTTGTAAATTCACCTTTTTAACCTTTAAAAGTTAACAATAAACCCTCTAAACTGTTAAGTCCATGCAAATAACTCCTAATTATAATTAATTTTAATACTCTAAACTTAATTTACTTTTGTATGTATAAACTCTTCCTCAAATTTTTAGTTAAGCGTAGATAAATCCCTTAGGGTAAAGGTGCAAAATTGCATAACTAAAAAATCGGGGAGGTACTGTGTGCACTTGAGAAATAAGATTAAGGGTAAATCTGCACATTTATATATCCAATTCCTTAAACTTTAAGTAATATGCCAATTAATAATGAATAAAACTAATGTATGGGAGTTATCTATAGTGCAGATATCAAAGTTCAGAAGTTATTATAAAATTTCAAAATTAAGAAAATTATTATATATAGCATAAAATTCACAAGGTTTTTGTATGATTTAGGATATTGTGTGAAATAAGTCACATAAGTATTATTAGAAGGATTTTGCATTTTCCATAATGACAGAAAAGTGATTATTGAACTTAGAAATTCACAAAGGGTCACTTGAATAAGAAAAATTCTCTTTTAATCACACATGACCAAATGGGGATTTTGTGATTTGATAAAATGACCATATTGCCTTGTGAATTAAAGAATGGGCATTTTTACAATATCAGCAAACGATTAATGAATCATGTAACAATATCAACAACTCTCATAACGCTATTAAGCACATGACATGAAAGCCTTTTATACTTTGAAAGATTAGGTAGTGGGAAACTTTTCAACTCCTGTAACACGATTAACAAGTTATTTAATGTTATTAACAAGTTTGGTATCACCAATAACAACAGGTTTCAATTCCAGGAATTAAAGAAATGCCATTTTTACAACTTATTAAACAAGTCATGTAATAATATTAACAACTCTCATGATGTCATTAACCACACAATTTGAGAGCTTTTGGTACTTCGAGAGATTAATCAGTGCATCATAAATAGGAAAATTTTCAACTCTTGCAATGTTGTTAACAAGTTATTTTTCCATTAACAAGTTTGATATTGCCGTTAACAACAAGTTTCTGAAAAATTAAAAAGTGACATTTTTACAACTTTAGTAATGTGACTAACAAGTCATGTAACGATATTAACAACTCTCATAATGCTATCTATTAACCACATGATCTGAGAGCTTTTTATGCAGATTAGTCGATGCATACTACTAAATGAAAAAATTTCAATTTATGTAACGTAGTTAACAAGTTATTTAACGTTATTAACAAGCTTGATATCACTATTAATAATAGGTTTTCTAAAAAATTAAAGAAGTGCTATTTTTACAATAGGTTTCCTAATTCATAAGGTTAATACGGTCATTATATCAAATTACACAAATTCCCATTTAGTCATGTCTAATTAAAGGGAATTTTCCTTATTCAGGTGACTTTTTGAATATTTTCAAATTTAACAATCATTTTTCTGTCATTTTTCCTAATCATTATCTACAATGACGTAGCAAGCGGCTTTTTATACCACTTTTTAACCGATGTTAAAAGTTTATAAAACTACATTACTAGCATACACTCCCCTCTTAAAATTGATGTTAAAAGTCCTCCCTAAGCAACATTAATTGTCTTTCTTGCAATAGCGATAACAAGTCACATCATCTATAAATCATGAATAATATGATTCAATTTTTTTTTTCCAAATTTTATGTAACGCACCAAACATGTATATCTATTTTAATAATTAAGGGGAGAGGAAAGTGTCTATGGTTTTATGAAGGAAAAAAAGGTGTGGTCAATATATGAATATGCTTCGTTAAATTGATGATGCGAGAGACCAAAAGTCGGCTTTCAAATAATACCAAAGAGTTTGATATGATCACGTAATTCGATGGTGACAACATAGGAAGAATATAGGAAAAAGCATATATATATATATATATATATATATATATATGTATATGAACCACGGAATATTGCGTATTAGTTAGATAGTGATATTGAAAGGAAAAGGACGGTGGAAGTAGGGTTGGCTGCTAATGGAAAAAAGATAAGAAGATGGAGAAGGGAGCTCACAAGTGTTCAGACTAATTATAGCTACTAGAAAAAAGTCATATCATAAAGAACCTTTGTCATTGCAACGTAAACTAAACTAGCTAGTTGTTCAATCTAGTTCCCAAAAGAGGGAAAAAAAACAAAATATTTGGTTCAATGAAAAATTAATGGATATGTATCTAAATCTGAAATCATTAGTATAAAACATTTTATGTATAAAATTAGTCAAAACTAAAAAAAATAGCCCAAAACAAAGATAAAAGTACTATCCAACTTATGTACTGGCCTGGTTCAATCAGGGAAGACGTT